AGGAAAGAAAAAAAAATTTTATTAATAAGGGCAAATTATTTACATCCTGACAAGGGAAGATGACACTTGTATCTCTTGAGAACCATAATTTTATCATGACATTTAAAAGGGGGTATACTTAGACAAAGGGCATGAGTATAAGTTGACTTTGATGTGAATTACATCACATGAAAAGGCACAAAAGCCTAATACAGTAAAGGGAAAGAAGGGCGGGAGATGAGCATTGTTTGAACCTTACTCTTATCACTTTTGGTTCAAAGAGAAAATAACATAATCAGTTAGGTATAGAAATCTAACCTACCATATAGGAAATAGGAGGGGAAAGGGAAGAGAAAAGGAAGGGGTGAGTAGAAGGGAGGGAAGAAATAGAAAGAGTAGAGGAAGAAAAGGGCAGGGGCTAATAGAAGGGAGGGCAGACTAAGGGAGGTGATGGTCAAAAGCAAAACTACTGAGGAGGGAAAGAAAGAGAAAAGCATAAATGGGGGGGAGAATAGGATGGAGAGGAAGACACTGATAATAATCATAACTGTGAATGTGAATGGGATGAACTCTCCCATAAAATGGAAACGAATAGCAGAGTGGATAAGGACCATAATATGTTGTTTACAAGAAACTCATTTGAAGCAGAGGGATACACACATAGTAAAGGTAAAAGGCTGAACCAGAATATATTATGCTTCAGCTGAAGTAAAAAAAGCAATCCTGATCTCAGACAAAACAAAAGCAAAAACAGATCTAATTAAAAGAGATAAGGAAGGAACTACATCCTGCTAAAAGGTACCATAGATAATGAAGTAATATCATTACAAAACACTATGTACCAAGTGGTATAGCAGCCATATTCTTAAAGGAGAAGTTAAGGGAGCTACAGGAAGAAATACACAGCAAAACTATACTAGTGGGGGACCTCAGCCTCCCCTCTCAGAACTAGATAAATCTAACCACAAAATAAACAAGAAAGAAGTTAAGGAGATCAATAGAATCTTAGAAAATTTAAATATGGTAGACCTCTGGAGCAAACTGAATGGTGACAGAAAGGAGTATACCTTTTTGTCAGCGATATGTGGCACCTACGTAAAAATTGACCATGTACTAGGGCATAAATACCTTACAATCCGGTGCAGAAAGGCAGAAATATTAAATGCATCCTTTTCAAATCATGATGCAATAAAAATTACATGTAATGTAGGGCCATGGAAAGATAGACTAAAATGTAATTAAAAACTAAATAATCTAATCCTAAAGAATGAGTGGATCAAACAACAAATCATAGAAATAATAACTTCATTCAAGAGAATGACAATAATGAGACAACATACCAAAACTTATGAGATGCAGCAAAAGCAATCCTTAGGGGAAGTTTTATATCTGTGAATGCTTACCTGAATAAAATAGAGAAAGAAGAGATCAAGGAATTGGGCATGCAACTAAAAAAGCTAGAAAAAGAACAAATTGAAAATTCCCAATTAAATACCAAAGTAGAAATTCTGAAAGCCAAAGAAGAGATTAATAAAATTGAAATTAAGAAAACTATTGAAACTAATAAATAAAACTAAGCTAGTTTTATGGGAAAAAACCAACAATAAAATGGATATAAACCTTTGGTTAATTTGATTTTTAAAAAGAAAGAAGAAAACCAAATTACCAGCATCAAAAATGAAAAGGGTGAATTCATCACCAATGAAGAGATCAAAACAATAGTTAGGAGCTATTTTGCCCAACTGTATGCCACTAAATTTTAACAATCTTAGTGAAGTGGTTGAATATTTACAAAAATATAAATTGCCCAGATTAACAGAAGAAGAAATAAAATAAATAACCTCATTTCAGAAAAAGAAATTGAACCAGTCATCAATGAACTCCCTAGAAAAAAAAGTCTCCACGGCCAGATGGATTTACAAGTGAATTCTATCAAACATTTAAAAACTAATTCTATCAAACAACAAAACTGACAGAAATCATATGATTATCTCAATAGATGCAGAAAAGGCGTTTGACAAAATACAGTATCCATTCCTATTAAAAACATTAGAAAGCATAGGAATAAATGGAGTCTTCCTTAAAATGATAGATAGCATCTATCAAAAACCATCAGCAAGCATTATATGCAATGGGGATAACCTAGAAACATTTCCAGTAAGATCGGAGGTGAAACCATTATCACAAATGTTATTCAATATTGTCTAGAAATGTTAGCTGTAGCAATTAGAGAAGAAAAAGAAATTGAAGGAATTAGAATAAGCAAAGAAGAAACAAAGCTATCGCTCTTTACAGATGATATGATGATATATTTAGAGAATCCTAGAGAATCGAGTGAAAAATTACTTGAAATAATAAATTTATCAGGATATAAAATAAACCACACAAATCATCGGCATTTCTGTATATTACTAACAAAGCCCAGCAGCAAGAGATAGAGAAATTCCACTTTAAATTACTATAGACACTATAAAATATTTCGGAGTCGATCTGCCAAAACAAAACCAGGAACTCTATGAACACAATTACAAAACACTTTTCACACAAATGAAGTCAGACCTAAATAATTGGAAAAATAGCAGTTGCTCAGGGGTAGGCCAAGCTAATAAAAATGACAATTCTACCTAAATTAATACCAAACTACCAAAAAATTGTTTTATAGAGCTAGAAAAAACAGTAACAGAATTCATCTGGAAGAACAAAAAGTCCAGAATGTCAAAGGAAGTAATGAAAAGAAATGCAAAGGAAGATGGCTTAGCCATACCTGATCTTAAATTGTATTATAAAGCAGCAATCATCAAAACTATGGCTAAGAAATAGAGTAGTGGATCAGTGGAATAGGTTAGGTATACAAGACACAACAGTCTGACTATACTAATCTACTATTTGATAAATCCAAAGACTCCATCTTCTGGGGTAAGAAATCACTATTTAGCAAAAACTGCTGGGAAAACTGGGAAAATGTATGGCAGAAACTGGGCATAGACCAACATCTTACACTCTATACCAAGATAAAGTCAAAATGGGTACATGATTTAGATATAAAGATTGGTATTATAGGCAAATTAGAAGAGCAAGGAATAGTTTACCTTTCAGATCTATGGAGAAGGGAAGAATGTATGACCAAACAAGAGATAGAGAACATTATGAAATGCAAAATGGACTATTTTGATTACATTAAATTGAAAAGGTTTTTTTGTTGTTGTTTTTGTTTTTGTTTTTTAGGCAATTGGGGTTAAGTGACTTGCCCAGGGTCACACAGCTAATGAGTGTCATGTTTGGTCTGAGGCCACATTTCAACTCAAGTCCTCCTGACTTCAGGGCTGGTTCTCTATCCAGTGTGCCACCTAGCTGCCCCAAATTGAAAAGTTTTTGCACAAATAAAGCCAATGCCTCCAAGATTAGGAGGGAAGCAGAAAACTGGGAAAGAATTTTTACAACCAGTGTCTCTGACAAAGGCCTCATTTCTAAAATATATAGAGAACTGAGTCAAATTTATAATAATACAAGTCATTCCCCAATTGATAAATAGTCAAAGGATATGAACAGGCAGTTCTCAGAGGAAGAAACTAAAGCTATCTATAGTCATATGAAAAAATGTTCTAAATCATTATTGGTTAGAGAAATGCAAATCAAAATTACTCTGAGGTACCACGTCACACCTATCCGATTGGCTAACATGACAAAACAGGATAATGATAAATGTTGGAGAAGATGTGGGAAAATTGGAACATTAATACATTGTTGCTGGAGTTGTGAAATGATCCAGCCATTTTGGAGAGCAATTTGGAGCTATGCCCAAAGGGCTATAAAATTGTGCATACCCTTTGACCCAGCAATACCACTTGTAGGGCTACATCCCAAAGAGATCATACAAATGGGAAAAGGACTCACATGTACAAAAATATTTATAGCAGCTCTTTTTGTGGTGGCAAAGAATTGGAAATTGAGGGAATATCCATCAATTGGGGAATGGCTGGACAAGTTGTAGTATATGAATGTAATGGAATACTATTGTGCTATAAGAAATGATGAGCAGGTGGACTTCAGAAAAACCTGAAAAGACTTAATATGAAGTGATGCCGAGTGCCACATTATGGGATGACTGACTTTGGAAAGCCTTGGCTCTTCACAGCCACACAATATTCAAAGACAACTCCAAAAGATTCATGATGGAAATTGCTCTCCACACACAGAGAAAGAAATATGGAGTCTGAATGTAAATGGAAGCATACTATTTGCTCTCCTTTTCCTTTGTTGTTTTATTTTATTGCTTCATTCTTTTGGCTCCTCCCATTAATTCTAATTGTTTTTTACGTTATGACTAATGGGAAATTATGCTTAACATAAATGTATATGTAGAGCCTATGTCAGATTATATGCCATATGAAAGGGGGAGACAATTTTAAACTCAAAATCTTATGGAAGTGAATGCTGAAAGCTAAAAATAAATAAATTTAAAAAATTTTTTTAAAAGATGGAACTAAAGAGCTTGAAGTGTTTTCACGTGGGGGATTTTGTTGTTGTTGTTTCAGTGAAAGGTAAGGTCAGGGAGGGTCCAGTGGAGAATGGAAAGATAATTTGGACAAAGGAGGCATTGCCCTGGGAGAAACCAGGCCCAGATAGTGTGTTATATATAGTGTGTGGGGAGGTGATGGGGGGGGGGTATCTTGCCAGAAGGTGTTGAGTGCTTGGGGATATGTGAAAAGTGGAGGTGGGAAAGTGCTCTAAAATTAAATATGTCATAAAGATCTTCAAGTCAGAGCTGAATGACCATTTTTCTGGGGGGGTTTTATGCAGTAGGAATTTACGTTAATGAATAGATTGGACTATTGGACTACTTCATGACCTGAAGTCCCTTCTAGCTTGGTATTTTATGATTATATAATACAATTGTCAAGTAAAGTGTAAACAGTGAAACTAGAACCCACTTTGTCATGTTTCTCATACAGTTATTGACTGCAGTTCCAATCAAGCGGGGAGACAGAGACAGAAGGCTGAAGTAAGAAATAAGTCATGAATCCAAGAAACTGCATCAGTTACCTTTAATAAAGCTCTGAACCAACAAAGCAGCATTACTGCTTGTCTGAGCATGTGCCAAAGGGGTGAATGATGCTCAGTGGCTCTAGGTTATCTCCAGAATCATTCAGGCAGGGGCAGAAGTAGGGGAATAGTTGTTCAGTAAAGGTACTGCTGAAGGTGTAAATGTGAGACATGTCTTCAGCATTATAAAAGGACACCTGTCCTCCCTCATAATCCAAATATATTCCCACCTTGCTGAGGCTGCATTTCAGCACCATACTGAAGGAGGGCACATCTAGAGCCTTTAGTTCAAGACTGTTCCTTAGCCGGAGGAGCCAGAACCCATCTGTAGGAGTCAGAGGACAACAGCCCTTCCGACTGATTGACTCTCTGACCACTCCCAATGTCCATTTTGTTTTCTTGGCTACTTCTACCTCCCAGTACCATTTTCCTTTGTTAAAGGCATCTAAACCAAGCACAGCCACACTTGAGTCAAACCGCTCTGGATTGTCAGGAATCATCTTCTTAACATCACCATGCCACACACTGGTTCGATCTTCAGATATCACCAAATTTGGGTGTGCTGTTTTGGGGTCCAGAGTTATCAGAGAAAGGCCTACGGAAATAAAATAAAGACAATTCAGGGCAAGAAGAAGGCTGGCTTGAAATGAATGTAACCAGCCTTGCTAGTAAAATGGCATATCCCTCCTAGTATGGCATATACATCTAGACATAGCGTCAGGCAAGTTAGTCTCATTTTTTTGATTTATGAACAGGAGAAGAATTAATAAATAAACAAGTGATAGAGAGCATTATGATATATAAAATGGATAGTTTTGATTACCTTAAATTAAAAAGATTTTGTACAAATAAAACCAATGTACCCAAGATTAAAAGGAAAGCAGAAAATTGGGGGGGAAAGTTTTATAGAAAGTTTCTCAGATAAAGGTCTCATATCTCAAATATATGGAGAACTTTGTCAAATTTATAAGAATATGAGTCATTTTCTAATTGATAAATGGCCAAAGGATATGAATAGGCAGTTTTTTAATGAAGAAATCAAGGCTATATATAGTCATATGAAAAAATGCTCTAAATCATCATTGATTAGAGAAATGAAAATTTAAACAACTTTGAGATATCTTCTCACACCTATTAGATTGGCTAAAATAAGAGAAGGGGAAAATGACAAATGTTGCAGGGAATGTGGAAAAACTGAAATACTAAAACATTGTTGGCTGAATTGTGAACTGACCCAACCATTTTGGAGAACAATATGGAATTCTAAATGCCCAGAGTTATAAAACTGTATATATACTTTGATCCAGCATTACCACTTGGGAATATTTCCTAAGTAACTGGGGAGAAAGTAAAAGAACCTAAAAATTTATAGCAGCTCTCTTTGTGGTGGCAAAAATTGGACATTGAGGGGATGCCCATCAATTGGGGTATGGCTAAACAAGTTAGGGTATAGGATTGTGGTGGAATACTATTGTGCTACTGTAAGAAATGATGAGCAGGTTGATTTTTTAAAATTTTATTAGCTTATTTAGATTTATCAATAATCACTTCCATATGCTTTTGAGTTTAAAATTTTTATCCCCCTTCCTCCCCACCACCAAGATGGTACACAATCTGATACAGGCTATACATTTACATTCCTATTAAACATATTTTCACATTAGTGGTGTTGTAAGTAAAAATTAAAACCAATAGGAGGGACCATCAGAAAGAGGAAAAAAAACTCAACAGAAGAGAAAAAAATAGCAATTCAACTTTCATAGTTCTTTCTTTAGATGTGGATAGCATTTTCCATCACAAGGCCTCTGGAGATGTCTTAGATCCTTGTATTGCTGAGAAGGGTTAAGTTTATCAATATTAGTCATTGTACAGCATGGCTGTTATTGTGTACAATGTTCTCTTGGTTCGAGCAGGTTGACTTTGAGAAAAACATGGAGCAACTTGCATAGAGAGCTGATAAATAGAAGTATACATAACGTGGTATGTGGGTGGGTGTGTGCGAGGAGATGGGGAGGTGTATCTTTATCAAATGGTGGCCTTATCTACTGCAGGGTGGAGAAGGAGGGAGGAAGACAGTTCAGAACTTAAAATGTAACAAAAAAATTTTAATTTTAAAAAATGTGTGTGTGTGTGTGTGTGTGTGTGTGTGTGTGTTTAGTATCCATAGTACCATAATAGGAATTTGGGAATTCTTTGTAAGTATTAGGCATACTCTTGACCCTCAAGGAATTTATGATTTAATAAAGAAAATAATACTGTCAGCAAAAATGAGTGCTAACCTAGAAAGCAATTTGTCAGAAATTAGGTGTAGTCTGTCTTATACCATATGCCAAGAAAAGCTCTAAACTGATACATGACTTAGAAATAAAGGGTAATATCATAAATTAGGAGAGCAAGGAAGAAATTACCATTCAGAGCTATGGAAGGAGGGAAAGAGTTTGTGATTAAAGAAGGGAAAGAAAGGATTAAAGAAGATAAATGGACAATTTTGATTATGTACACTTTAAAATGTTTTTGCATAAAGCCAATGCAGCTAAAATTAGAAGAGAAATGGATAACTGGGGGAAAAAATCTTTAAAGCAGATTTTTCTGATAAAGATCTTATTTCCAAAATATGCAAGGAACTGATTCAAATTTATAAGAATAAGAGCCATTTCCTAACTTATAAATGGTCAAATAATATGAACAGGCAGTTTTCTAAGGAAGAAATCCAAATAATAACTAAATGGAAAAAAGCTCCAAATCACTAATAATTAGAGAAATGCCAATTAAAGCAGTTCTGAGACTCTACCTTATATCCATCAGATTGACAAAGTTGACAAAAAAGGAAAGTGACAAATGTTGGAAGGATTGAAGGAAAACAAACACTTCAGTGCGTTGTTGAGGGAGTTGTGAATTAGTTGATCCCTGTTGGGAAGCAAATTGAAACTTTGCCCATAAAGTTTCTTGCTAAGCTATGCATATTCTGACCCAGTAATAGCACAACTCCCAAAGAAATCAAAGAAAGAAGAAAAGGACCCATATGTACAAATATTTGTAACGTTGACTACCCTGGCCCTCACTACCTGAAAGGCCAGATAGATTGCTTTTCACTCCTCCCTCAAGGTTCTCTGGTATCTTTAAGAGAGTTTAGGGTGTCAAGGCTCTCTGCCATTGGTTCCACCCCCACCAAGGGTTTTCCCTTCAAATGTGGGGGAGGCCTCTGTACCCCAATTCCATTTAGCAACTCTTTCATAAAGGAATATTTACTTCAAAGATATATTAGCAAATATAAGACATACTCCTCCAACAAGTGGAACTTAATCCCCTCCCCCTTTTTACCTTCTCAGTCTTTGAGGAGGGGTAGGGGATTAGGTTCACAGCTTAGCTTGGTTCCTTAAGAGTACAGGTCCAAACACTAATACATTGTTGGTGGAGTCGTGAAATGATCCAGCCATTTTGGAGAACAATTTGGGACTATGCCCAAAGGGCTACAAAAATGTGCATACCCTTTGATCCAGCAATAGCACTTCTACGGCTATATCCCAAAGAGATCAAACAAATGAGAAAAGGACCCACATGTACAAAAATATTTATAGCAGCTCTTTTTGTGGTGTCAAAGAATTGGAAATTGAGAGCATGCCCATCAATTGGGGAATGGCTGAGCAAGTTGTGGTATATGAATGTAATGAATAGTGTTGTGCTATAAGAAATGATGAGCAGACAGATTTCAGAAAAACTGGAAAGATTTAATATGAACTGATGCTGAGTGAAGTGAGCAGAACCAGGAGAATGTGTACACAGTAACAGCCACATTATTGGATTGCTAACTTTGATAGGCGTATCTCTTCTTAGCAGTGCAAGGATCTAAGACAACTCCAAAACACTCACGATGGAAAATGCTGTCCGCATTCAGAAAAAGAACTACGGAGTTCAAAGCATATTATTTGCTCTCTCTCTTTTTTTGGTTTCTTCTTTACAACATGAATAATGTGAAAATAGGTTTAATATGAATGTATATGTTGAGCCTATATCAATGTACATACTGTCTTGGGGCAGAGGAAGAGAGAGATGAGAAAATTTGGAACTCAAAATCTTATGGAAGTAAATGTTGAAAACTAAAAATAAATAAATAAATTTATAGAAAAAATTGGAGAGTGACTGGACAAAGTATAGTACATAAATGTAATGAAATATTATTATCTGTGAAAAGGAGGATTTCAGAGAAACCTGGAAAGATTTGTGTGAACCGTTGCACAGCAAAATAAGCAGAACCAGGAAAACCATTCATACAATAAAAAACATTGTGAAGACATACAACTTCGTTTTTGTTTTTTTTTTTTAGGCATTTGAGATTAAGTGACTTGCCCAGAGTCATACAGCTAGGAAGTGTCAAATATTTGGTCTGAGGCTCCTGCTTCAGGGCCAGTGCTCTATCCACTGTGCCACCTAGCTGCCCCAACATGCAACTTTGAAAGACTTAACTCTCATCAACACAATGACCAACCATAATTCTAGAAGACGGATGATGAAGCACGCTAATCACCTCCTCACAGAGAGAAGTGATGGACTCAGTGCAAATTGAGACTTTTTTTCTTGACATGGACAATCTGGGAATTTATTTTGCTTTACCATGATATTTATTGGAGGCAGTTTGGTGAGTTAGTGGATAGAGCACTGTGTTTGGAGTCAGGAAGACCTGAGTTAAAATCCAACCTCAGACACTCACTAGCTGTGTGATCCTGGGCAAGTTACTTAATTTGTGTTTGTTTTAATCTACTGGAGAAGGAAATAGCTTTCTAGTATCTTTGCCAAGAAAACTTCATTTTTCTTAAATGGTATTTTATTTTTTCCAATTATATGTAAAGATAGTTTTTGATATTCAATTTTTATAAAATTTTGAGGGGAGGATTCTGGGAAGATGGTGGGAATAGGTTAGAAAATTCCAAGCTCTCAAGATTTTCCCCCACAAAAGAGGCAAAGTAGCACCTTAGGGAGAACTAAATGCAGGTAAAAAATAAATATGAATAGGGTCATAACAGGGGTCTTCCTGAGACAATTCCAGAAGATTAGAAGAAAAATCTCAGACTAAGTTTGGTCCCAGTGAAGAGTAAATGCCTCCAGGCTAGGGGCCCGAGTTGACAACAAGCTGCAAGCCCTGGGGTTAGCAGGTTTGGGAGGCTACCTCTGCCCCAGCTACAGGAACTTTTACCCCCGAGATAGTGAATGGAGTTGGGCATTGGAGCCCAGGAATATCGAAGGAACCTCTGCTGACAAGGAACGCCAGACCCAGCTGTGTTCCGAGAGTGGAGATTGATGGGGGCAAGAAGGAACCAGCAGGTGAGTGCAGAAGCAGTGGGGTAGAAGACCCCTGGCTGTGGGCACTTACCCGAGGCTAGAGCTTTGGTTTTGGTTCCAGGCTAGAGGGGAGAACTGAAGATCTGAGGCAAGAGGCACCCAGGGCTAGAGGTGATTACAAAAATTAAGCTATTACTACCAAAAATGCAAATGCAAAAGAGAAAGAATCCAACCATAGAAAGCTATTATGAAGACCCGAGTTTGTCCTCAGAAGAGGATATTGTAGCAAAGGAACCCCCTTCTACCCCAAAGAGTAAT